TTCTGGATATACTTTTCACTTAGATTGATTCCTTCTGTTGCATAGAGCACTTTTAGCTCTTATAAGAGTTGTCAAAGAGGCATAAGTAGTTTTCTCTTTAAAGTTATTAATGGATACACAGGAATATATTTAGTTTTAGTTTTCTACTGTATTGAGAAAAAATAAATTATCTGCAGGGCTTATTCCAATTTAGTTTGACTATATAGCGCAACAAGCTTAATTTTCTTCCCTTTTACGAAGTGTTCAGTTTTTTTTTGTTTTTTAATGGGTTTCCGAAATTTTTACACCTTGAAGGGAGTTGTTTCTCACTATCTTAAGAATGAAGGTCCTGTGGAGTGGGTTGGGAATTTGTTTATGTTTGATTCCTGTCTTTCTCTTCCACCTGCAACCTACAAGCCTGAAGCTATGACTGAAGCAAGGAAGACTGGACAAGTTTCTGAAAATCCATTTGCTACATGCTATATATGTGATTCACAAATTTCTGAGTTAAGGCATCGAAACTGTGCAAATCTTGATTGCAACGTACTCTCTGTAAGTCACTTTTCTCTCTTTCCTTCTTCTCCTGCAGTTTGTGTGTCTTTCATAACTGGGCTCCGAAGAGCCAGTTCATGTTAGATGCATAAGTCCTGGAGTTTTACTTTTTTTTTTCGTGATCTTGCTTGTGGGAACTGCAAATTTGTGATCAATGAAGACCTATTGGGTTTATCTTGCTCATATCCCCTAAATCAAAATCCTGATTATGCTCTTTCAAAATATCTCCCAGTATTTTTGTTGTTTTATCTCAATTTTGTCAACTGAAAATGCTTAAAAAGAAGGTCATGTATGGAATCGAAGATTGAGGACTTCAATTGCTTTCTCTTCAAATTTCTATTATCACTTTGCACAATGGCACTCATCTTCTACTGTTTATCTTTTCGGTTAAATGTTTAACCCTTTGCACTCATCGCCTCTTCCCCTTATTACACATGTTAGTGAATTAAAATGAAGATGACTCTCAAACCAAGCCTGTTTTCATGTATCTTGTTCAGATGCTACTCCGACTGTGTGAAGACTTTACGGGGATGCTGCTGTATAAATTGCACTACTGCCCCTCGACTTACACCTCTTCTTCCTGGACATGAAGATACCGAAAATGGCATAGTTATCGAGATTCAAAACTGCAAACAAGCTGACAACCTGGCCATTCTTTATGCGATGGAAGATCATCTCCAACCCATTGCACCAAATTGATGTGATTTTTTGTGTAAAACTCTATTGCATCTCCAATCAATTGCACTAAATATTACACCAAAAAGAATATTCTTTATAATATTCTATTTCTTTTTCTTTTATTGTAATAATCAACAATTAATCTATTTCACTCATTATTTTTGTATATATTAATTAAATATTAAGAATGATATTTTTATTAAATAATAATTACTTTGAAAATTATAATTTAATAAAATTAAACTTTATTAATCAAATAAACATTACATTAATATAGAAAAACATACATCTAATATAAAATGATACCAAAAAAAAAAAAAAAAAAAAAAAAAAAAAAAAAAACCAACAACAACAAACAACACAAAAGTAAAATTCCATATTGATAGTAATTTAATTTTCCGAATTAGTATGTTCTTCCCACAAATAATCAATTAATGCATTTCAAAGAGCATGGTGAGCCTTTATATCCTTGATTTGTCTTTGTCGAGCAAGAAAAATTTGAAATCGGACATTTTTATCTACGACAATTTCAACTTCGGGAGTTGGCGCTTCTATCTGATTCTCAATCAATGCATCAACATTACGATCATCCTCGATTATCATGTTGTGCATAATAATATACGCAGTCATTATATCATGTAATACATTTTTATCCCAAAAACGTGTTGATCTTGCCGCAATTGCAAACCGCAATTGGAGAACTCCAAATGCACGTTCCACATCTTTTCTACATCCTTCTTGTTTCATTGCAAATAATTTTTTTTTGGGACCACATGGATTGTGAATAGTTTGTACGAGAGTAGACCACTTTAGGTATATACCATCAGCTAAATAATAACTCATATTATAATCTTTTCCTTGAATGCTATAATGAGCATTGCATTGATTAAAGTTTTGTTTTTAATTTTTCATCATTTTTTGAATTATATCATTATAGCATAATTCAATGCTCATTTTGCTGAGCCTTAAGCTCAGCAAAATGAGCACAAAATGAGCAAGGGAAGGTCGCAGAAGCGTCTACTTTTTCTCCGGCAGTATTAGCTGCTGTCTCTCATCGAGATTCAGAATGTCCAACATGCGAGCATTCGATGGGAATTTTGATCCGCAAGATCATTTGTACGAGTTCAACATCTCATGGAACTCCACCAAGTCTCTAACTTGGTAAAATGTCGTTGCTTGGCGGTAACCCTTACCTCCCATGCCAAGCGATGATTCATGTCGCTCCTAGCAAGATCGGTCATCTCATGGCCTCAAATGAGCTCAAAATTTTTAAGACACTTCAAGGCGAATATGAAGTTCTCAATGCTGCTAAGCTACCTGAGTAATATACGGTAAGAGAGGGATGAATCCCTCCAATCTTATATAGACAGGTTCCACAGAAAGTTTCACAAAGTGACTCACACTCCTGAAGAGTCTATTCGGACTCTCACTATCGTGGGAGTTCGCCCGCAGACAGATTTGTGGAAGGAACTACAGTCTGAGGATGATGTTTCTCTCACTCTTTTCTACAACCTTACTGAAAAGTACCTCCGCATTGAAAACTCTGTGGCTGCTCTCAATCTCCACGACCCGGTCCTTCGGGCAATGCTCCTAACCAGGGGGAGAATAGGAGGGCTGATCGCCGATGGGGTAATGATGATCAGCGAAAAGGAAAGAGGCAACGGTACAAGCCCAAGAAATCATATGCCCCAGTTCCTCATCGCAATTGCAACAAGAGTCAATACACTCCTCTGAATGCCTCAGTATCAGCTATTCTAGATAAATCAAAGGAGGCAGGTTTGCTCGGAGAGCCCGAGTCCATGAAAGGTCCCTCTTTAGCCAGAAACAATAAAAAATACTATCGCTATCATCGGGACAATTGCCACCACACCGATGAGTGTCAGGCCCTCAAGCAAGCAATTGAGGACCTCATTAAGTAGGGGCACTTCAAAGAGTATGTCGATGACTCTGCTACCGTCTGGGAGAAAAATCAAGAGGAACGGGGAGAGAAGCGTCATGGTCGTAAAGGTCTCTATTGTGTGGGGATCATTTTTGGAGGACCACACCTCGCAGGAAATTCTCAAGGTGCCTAAGAAAAGTACGCTCGGGAGGCCCATCATGACCTTATTAGTGTGGTGAGAATGACGCCGCGACCTCCCAAGGTTCCCAGAGAGAAGGAAATTACCTTCTCTAAAAAAGATGCAGTGAGATTGTATCATCCCCATGAGGATGCTCTCATCATCACGCTCGAGATAGGTCGGTGTGAGGTCCACAGGATGTTGGTGGACAATGGTAGACGATGAATTTTCTTTTATTTTTTTATTTTTGGTATGTTTGCTAATGTATCCAACGTTTGACAACGAAATGAGAAACTGCTCTGCATGTGGCCATCCTACAAGGTCCAATCCAAGCCTTGCGATGGAATCAAAACTAGATCTGTTATGCCTAAAAAGTCACGTTAATGTCAGCTCAACAAGTGCCTAAAAGACAAAGTGTACTAGCTGCCAAGCCCATACCGCCTCAAAGATATTTATACCAACCTTATCTCATTTTAAGAGATGGACAGACGAGAACTCTCCATGTGTTAAGGCAACTTGTAAAACACTCATGACATTGACCTCAAATGTGTATAAATGGGCATATCTCTTCATTAAAGGGGGGTGGGAGGGGTTGCGCATATGAGAGCTAAGCATAGATTTGAGTTTTATTATCTTTCTCTGTAAACCAAGCATTTCTCAATTCTTTGTATGTCTTACCGACAATATCATAGAAATAGTCAGAGAATAATGAAATAACAGTTGATGTAGGATTCATTTTGAGCATCCGAACAATTATAAAAATCGCCTTTGCCATTATTTTATTTATGTTTCTGCAAACATACATAATCTCATCTTCTGCTTTATTTCCTTTCATTTTCATTTCACGTATACTTCCTAAGTGTCCTTAACGCTTTACACTTACGAGTTGTTGGTATCAAAATCAAGTATCAATAAGACTCAACATTTTTAAAATAAAAGAAAATTGTGGATTCAAAAAGTGAATAGTGATTTTATGTGGCCTTGTTAAAACAAATGTATACGTGAATGGCAGTGGAAACGCCGGGCAATTCACTTTGGTTCCATCTCACCGTGGATTTTCATATCTACTTGTTCTATAGCTACCGCTACATTAAGTTAAAAGAAGTTTTAGCAAATTCGAGCCAGCAAGGCCTAAAGTGGATTGTGAGCTAATTTGGAATTGCTGTAACTTTAAGTTTAATAAGTTCTAGTTCATTTTTTGAAATATTCAGTTTTGAAAATAATTTGGAATGTGTTTGGTAAATATAATATTTATAATGGCTATGATTTTCAAAATCTATGATGGTGTGTTTGGTAAATTAGATTTTCAAATTATTGGTGTATGGATAATTACCAAAATAGACAATTTATTTCTTAAAATACTTTTATAATTATAAAATTTTATTTTGTTAATATTTAAAAATGTATTAAAAATTGTAATTTTATTTTGTTAATATTTAAAAATGTATTAAAAATTGTTGAATAAATTATTAAAAATTAATAAGTCAAAAAATTTTTAAAATTGGATTTGGACAATAGCGGTCAACTACTAGCCAATGTCAATCCAATAATCAACCCCGGTCAACACCATTGACCAAAGGTCAATGTTGGTCAATAATGGAGCGTTAACGTCATTAACAGTCCTCTCGGGACTAGTATGAGCCGATTTGTCACAATCCAATGGAATCATTGGATTTAGTGCATCATTTCTCCACAAAAGGTGACAAAACTTCGACTGCCCTTTTTCCAGATTCCGATAGATCGGTTCAATTGGTCTTGATGGGACTGGCGTTGAGGGCTAATGTGTGTCAATCAAGATTGACAAATGAGGGTTGACGTGTGACAATCAGGATTAACAATGAGGGTTGATGCCCATTATTAGAGATCACCGAAATCCGAAAATCACCGCCATCAATCCATTGGTGTCCCTGCCTATCAGTTTAATTTTGTTTATTTCAAAAAAAAAAAAAAAATTATATATTTATTTAAATCAATGTAAGTAAGTCTATAATGTAATGGTATATTTGTTATTTACATATATAAAATCAACTTTGAAAATAATCTGATTTTTAAAAGCTACCCTGGGTAACTTTTAGAATCCTTTTATAAATCTCATTATTTTATAATCGATTTTAAAAGTTATTTACCAAATACTTTAATTGTTATGGCTTAAAACTTAAGTGTTTATTAATTTAAAAAAATAAAATTCTTTGAAATAAGATCTACTTAACATTGTTTATTTCCTTATTAAATATCATTAATTAGGGGCGGACCCAGGCCCTTTGAGGGTAGGCCCAGGCTTGCCCTCAACTTTAAAAAATAATTTGAAAAGTTTTTTTAAAAGGTAAAAGAAATGTTAAAAGTTAAAAAATTAAAAAGTTAGGTTTTGTCTTTTTTATATTCAAGTTTTTCTTCCCCAATTCCCAACTTCCCATTTACATGCGAATGTGGATTTGGAGTGATTATAATCCATATTTTTGTAAACCTTTGTGTATTTTATTTTTATTAGAGTTGTGATTGAACTCTAAATTTGGATAGAATATTTTTGGTGGATTTGTGGTTATTGTAAATGATAATCCTATTTTTTCCTATGATTTTGCATTGAATTTCGATAGGATTTATGAAACTTTTTATACAATTTGGGTCATAATTACTACCTAATTCTATTAATTTGTTTTTGCAGGCCTAAACGATGATTTTGAGCATAAATGACAGTTTTGAGTGTAAATTGTGTAACTTGAGCTTAGAAACTTAGAATGACCTGATTTTAGAAGCTTTGGAAAGCTAAGAAGCGGAGCTACAGCTTTCATGTTTTAGGTTTTTCTTAACTCTGACTGGACAAGGGTGAAAACTTGGCTTGAAATCGTGAACAGTATGTTGAAAACTGAAGAAAAACGTCTTTGGACGTGCTTCAATATTTCTATCATAACTTGAGCTATAGAACTTGGATTGTGCTGATTCTTGAACGAGTAGAAAGATAATTTA